TGTGAAATTAATGATACTGTTTGATAATTTCCTTGTGTGTGAAATTAATGATACTGTTTGATAATTTCCTTGTGTGTGAAATTAATGATATTGTTTGATAATTTCCACGTTCATTTGGATCACCTTTCTTTGGAATGGGCACAAATGTGGATCTCTTCCAGTTGGTTGGCCAGGTAGCTGTCTTCCAAATTTCTTGGGATAGATGAGGGAGTGCTTCCAGCACTGCATCCATTTGTTGAAACATCTCAATTGGTATTCCATCAATTCCTGGAGCCTTGTTTTTCACCAACGCCTTCAGTGCAGCTTGGACCTCTTCCTTCAGTACCATTGGTTCTTAATTATATGCTACCTTCTGAAGTGGTTGAATGTTGATCAATTCTTTTTGGTACAGTGACTCTGTGTATTCCTTACATCTTCTTTTGATGCTTCCTGCTTCATTTAATATTTTCCCTGTAGAATCCTTCAATACTGCAACTCGAGGCTTGAATTTTTTCTTCATTTCTTTCAGCTTGAGAAATGCCAAGCATGTTCTTTCCTTTCGGTTTTCTAACTCCATGTCTTTGCACATGTCATTATAATAGTTTACTTTGTCTTCTTGAGCCGCCCTTTGAAATCTTCTGTTCAGCTCTTTTACTTCATCATTTCTCCCTTTCGCTTTAGCTACTCTTCATTCAAGGGCAAATTTCAAAGTCTCTTCTGGCATCCATTTTGGTCTTTTCTTTCTTTCCGGTCTCTTTAACGACCTTTGCTTTCTTCATGTATAATGTCCTTGATGTCATTTCTCAACTCGTCTGGCTCTTCAGTCATTAGTGTTCGGTGCAACAAATCTATTCTTGACATAGTCTCTAAATTCAGGTGGGATATACTGAAGGTGGTACTTTGGCTCTCCTGGACTCGTTTTAATTTTCTTCAGCTTCAGCTTGAACTTGCATAGGAGCAATTGATTTTCTGTTCCACAGTTGGCCCCAGTCTTGTTCTGACTGATGATATTGAGCTTTTTCATCATCTCTTTCCACAGATGTAGTCGATTTAATTCCTGTATATTCCATCTGGTGAGGTCCACGTAGTCACCTTGACATTGTTGAAAACAGGTATTTGCAGTGAAGAAGTCATTGGTCTTCCAAAATTCTATCATTTGATCTCTGTATTTTCCAACTACCAATCCTTCTTCATTTCTAACTTTTGTATTCCAATCACCAGTGAATATCAATGCATCTTGACTGCACGTTTGATCAATTTCAGGCTGCAGAAGTTGGTAAAAATCTTCTTCAATTTCTTCATCTTTGGCCTTAGTGGTCAGTGCATAAATTTGAATAATAGTCATATTAACTTGTCTTCCTTGTAGTCGTTTGGATCTTATCCTATCACTAACAGCATAGTACTTCAGGATAGATCTTGAAATGGTCTTTTTGATGATTAACACTACACCATTCGTCTTCAATTTGTCATTCCTGGCATAGTAGACCATATGTTTATCTGATTCAGAATGGCCAGTACCAGTCCATTTCAGCTCCCTAATGCCTAGGATATTGATATTTATGCATTCTGTTTCATTTTTGATGACTTCCTATTTTCTTAGATTCATACTTCATACATTCCATGTTCCAATTATTAATGGATGTTTGCAGCAGTTTCTTCTCATTATTGAGTTGTGACACATCAGCAAACGAAGGTCTCAAAATCTTGACTCTAACTACGTCATTAAGGTTGACTCTACTTTGAGGAGGCAGCTCTTCCTCAGTTGTATTTTGAGTGCCTTCCAACCTGAGGGGCTCATCTTCCAGCACTATATCAGACAATGTTTCACTGCTATTCACAAGGTTTTCACTGGCCAGTTTTTTCAGAAGTAGACTGCCAGGTCCTTCTTCCTATTTGTCTTAGTTTGGAAGCTCCACTGAAACCTTTCCACCAAGGGTGACCCTGCTGGTATTTGAAATACTGCTGGCAAAGCTTCCAATATCACAGCAACACACAAGCCACCACAGTATGACAACATGATAGACATGTGGCGGCCTCTGTCTAGAAGAATAAAATGATTATGTAAATCAACAAACCCAAGATACACTTTTCCATGTACTGAGAAACAACTATGATGCAACTCATAATTACCATTAAGATTTTCAAAATGAAAATGTCAGGGAAATAAATTGGTTTAGTTCCTAAATTCTATGCATTCTGTCAGTTCTTAAGTATCTAATTTCCAACGTCAAACTTTGATATTTGTCTTTCCACATGATCTTGGTTTCTGTGCCAGCAAGGCGGTGAGTGACAGGACTTTTTAAAAAAATGATAAAAAGACTTTAATAATTAATCATTTTTTTCATATCAAACTTCCTGTTTAAATCATGGTATAGTTTCTGTTTCCTGATTGAACCCTCACTGATATTGTCCCACCCAAAGTCTAAAGACACAGAAGACCTCAAACAAAAGAGTTGTGGTGAATCTACCTCTCTGACTTGATTGCTCTTTAAGAACTTGGATTCAAGCCTGGGAATTTCTAACTACCCATTGGATGGGCTGTTGTTGGAAGTTCAGAAGTGGTTACTCATCCCTTTCCAGGTATCCTTGACTTTAATAGATTAATCCCAATCCCTTGCCTTGGAAAGGCTCATAATCAACGGAGACATTACCCCTAAGTCTCAGGTGCCTTTGCTTCAATTACTTCCAGGATGACTTGGCACTAAAGCACATGGTCTATTTTCCACTGGAAAACTTCATCCTCTGAATTTTCCTCTGTTATGTCCTTGCATTTACAGCTCCTCTGATGTTTTTCCCCAAAAAGCTTTATCTCAAGAAGATGTATGTAGCAGTTAAGAACCAACAGATTAATCCATTGCAGGTGGGAATGTAAAATGGTGCAGCTGCTGTGGAAAAGTTTGGCAGTTCCTCAAAAAGTCGAACACAGAATTACTATATGATCCAGCTATTCCACTCTTAGTGGAATAGTCTTTCAAGAGACTTGAAAGCAACACAAACAGACATGTTCACCAATGTTTACTGCAGCATTTTTCACAATAGCTAAAAACTCTTTGCTGTTGAATCAATTTCAACTCATAGTGACCCTATAGGACAGAGTAGAGCTGTCCTATAGGGTTTCCGAGGCTGTAATATTTATGGAAGACTGCCACATCTTTCTCCTGTGGAGTGGCTGGTGGGTTCGAACCACCAACCTTTTAGTTAGCAGCCGAGTGCTTAACTACTGCACCACCAGGGTTCCTTTTTCAAAATACCTAAAAAAAAGGTGGAAACAACTGAAATGTCCATTGTGTATTTTGAGTGCCTTCCAACCGAGGTGGCTCATTTTCCAACACCATATAAGACAATATTCTGTTGTGATCCATAGGGTTTTCACTGATTAATTTTCACAAGTAGATCATCAGGCCTTTCTTCCTAGTATGTTTTAGTCTGGAAACTCTACTATGGGTGATCCTGCTGGTATTTGAAATAGCAGTGGCATAACTTCCAGCATCACAGCAACACGCAAGCCACCATCACAGTCAAACGTCAGAACTTTTTCACCATCACTATGAAACTCCCTTGGGCTACCCCTTGATAATTGCACCGCCCTGGCCCATGCAGATCCTCCCCATCCCTAGCCCTTGGCAACCACTAATCTATTATTCATCTCTAGACTTTTGTCATTTTGAGAATGTTACATGGAAGGAATCAGACAGCATGTAACATTTTGAGGTTGACTTTTCACTCAACATAATGACCTTGATATTCATCCTTGTTTCATATAGCAATAGTCCCTCCTTTTTAATCACTGTACATGGTATGGCTGTACTACAGTTTAACCATTCATCTGTTGATGGGCCTTTGGGATCTTTTCAGTTTGGGGCTATTAAAAATAAAGCTGCTATGAATGGTCATGCACAGGTTTTTGTCTGAACATGTCTTCATTTCTCTGGAATGAATGTGCAGGAGTATGATTGCTGGGTTATATGGTTAAATATATGTTTAATTTTATAAGAAACTGTTTAGTTGTTCTCTAGAGTGGCTGTGCCCAGATTATCATTCACAAATTCCTCAGAAATTGTATCTGAAATTATTCTTCTGCCTCCATTGTGTATTTTGAATGCCTTCCAACCTTGAGGCTCATCTTCCGTTACAGGAATAATAATAACCTGTAGATAGCTGTTCTTTCATTCAAGACTGATTTTTAGGTATTGTTAAGACTACCTACATTCTTGAATAGGTTGACAAAAATTATCATTTGGATAATAGGAATAGGATTGAGTTAGACCTTATGTTTGTGGCTGAAGATTAGGACAAGGGAGGGTTAAGGAAAGGGTCACAGCAAAGGCTTGGTTGAGTTTGATGTGTAAGTAAGCATCTGAAAGAACCAGACTTGAGTTGGAATACATAGCTTGAGATAGTGATTGGTGGAGGGGAGCTATGGCTGGAATAAGGAGCCCTAATGGCACAATGGTTCAGCACGCACCTGCTAACCAACAGGTCAGTGGTTTGAACCTGGCAATTTTGCTCCCACAAAGATTACTGCCTAGGAAACCCTATGGGGGCAATTCTACTCTGTCATATAGGGTCACTATGGGTTAGAATCAACTAGACAGCACATAACAACAGCTGGAATACTGCTGAAGTGAGGGTAAGGATTAAGGAGAAGAGAGATGTGGGTTTCAGCCTTCTGACATCCCTCCCTACACAGGGGAATAAGAGGATCGTGGCTCCTTCCATCCAAGTTGTTATTCTACGAAGCCCACTGATGAAAGAATCATGCTTCATAAAAGAATCATGTTTCATACTTTTTCACCAATGCATTTTCACCTTTTAATACTTGACATAATTCTTTCAATATTCTTATGGGACAGTGTGAGAATTTTACAAAGAAAGTGGTTAATTTGGCCAAAGTCACAAAACGTACAAAGACAAAAAAAAAAAAAAAAAAAGAGAAACCATAATTCTGGTTTTCCTGCACCCCAGCCATGGAAGTAGCTCGTGTTGAACACATTTTATGTAGAGCATGATTGAAGAGATTGTCAAGAACCTGTAGTTGATCCTTTCATGGGCCTATACACTCTTGGCATTTGGAAAGAGATTGAATGCCAAGCTATGTTACGCCTAGCTTGATCTAATGGGGAAGAATCGTGTTGACCAATCTTCTCCTCGAGTTGTCTGCCTTCCTTCTTAGCCCAGGATTGGTCCACGAAGACCAGTTTAGCGTTTTTCTCTCTCACAGTCCTCAGCAACTCCAGGGTCTCTGCACCTACATCACTTATTTGAAGACTGAGGAAGCAGAGGGGGAAATTCTGTTAATTCTACATGTTACATTTTCACTTTACTGCATTGATGGCCCTCTCCTTATGTATCTTTCTTTGGGCATTCCTAGGAGTCTCTTGTTCTTTATCTGACAAAAAAGGAAAGTCTGCTCTAGACTAAAATCCTTCATTCTTGCAGTCAATAGAGAGCTCCCCGTTGAACATTGGAGCATAAGCCAAAAATTCCACTGGGAGAACAGGCTGACATTAAATTAGTAGTAACAACTGATATGATATACTCAATATTTTATATTTATAAATCATTAGATTCTTAGAACAGATGATACCATTAACACCATGATTTTATAGAACAGAACACTGAGAGTCAAAGTTTAGCATAAGTATGTTTACGTGGCTAGAGAACAGAGGGCCACTTACACCAGAGCCTGTGTTTATAACTTTTGATACAGCTTCTTCAAATCAAGGAGGGAAGTTTATAGTCACTTTGATTTTTCCTGTGCCCTCTCTGTATGTGAATGCCTCCATCAGGATGTAGGTAAAAATACCTTTATATCCTGAAACGTATTTGTCTCTTTAATGTACCTTTATTGCACACCTAGATACTAGGATACAGCATTGAAAAAAAAAAAAAAAAAAACCCTGGCATTATAATAAAATTAAAAAAAATACAAAACAAGTGTTGGCAAGGTTGTAAAGAAACTGGAACCCTCATCCTTTGCTGGTGGGAATGTAAACTGGTGCAGCCACTGTGGAAACAGTTCCTCAAAAAGTTGAACACAGAACTGCCCTATAACCCAGAAATCCCAATCCTAGGTATATACCCAGGAAAAATGAAGGCAGCAACATAAATAGAAACCTGTACACCAATACTCATCGCAGCAGTTTTCACAGTAGCCAAAAGATGGAAACAACTGAAATGTCCGTCAACAGATGAATGGATAAACAAAATATGGTCCATACATACAATGAAGTACTACTCAGCCATAAAGAGAAATGAAGTCCTGCTGCATGCCACAGCATGGATGAACCTTGAAAACATCATGCTGAGCGAAGTAAGTCAGTGGCAAAGAATAAATACTGCATGATCTCACTTATATGAAATAAGCAGATACATAGAATCCAAAGATTAGTAGCGGTTACCAGGGGCAGTGTTTTTGCTGTGCGTGGGGTTGTTATGAGTCAGAACCAAGTCGACACCACCTAACAACAACAACCAGGGGTAGTAGGGAGGGGGAAAAGGAGTTTTTGATTAGGGGACATTGAGCTTATGTTAATGATGGAATGATTGGAAAAGGATAGCAAAAATGGTTACACAAACTGAAGCATTATATCAATGTCACTGAATTGTATATATAGACATTGTTGAGATGGCGTATGTTTTGTTATGTATATTTTCACCACACACAAAAAAATTCTTGCCATCATGGAGCTTATATTCTACTGGAAGGAGATGGACAAAAAACATAATAAATGCACTACATGGTATATTAGATGAGAAGAGCCATAGGGAAAGAATTAACAGAAGAAGAGACATAGAAAAGTTCGCAATGTTCGAATGGGTCCTTCTGTGCTGTGGTTAAGAGCTTGGCTGTTAACCGAAAAGGTCGGCAGTTTGAACCCACCAGCTACTCCTCAGAAACCCTATGGGGCAGCCCTACTCTGTCCTATAGGGTCGCTATGAACTGGAATTAACTCGACGGCAATGGGTTTGGTTTTGGTTTATGCATCTAAAAGTTTAACTCAATATCCACATTCATGGAAAGTATCATTTGGAGAGGTTAAGGGGAAAGAACTCGTAGCGGTGTCCCAAGCACATTGAGTTTGTGATCTAATTCAGTCTTTTCAAGAGTTCTGAGATAAATATCCACATTTTCCATTTGAGAAAACTGAAGGCAGAGAGGGAAACCAGTTGCCCTGTTTATGTATGATCCATGGGTAAATCCAAGATGTTTGTACTTTGCCTGTAATCAAATGATCACTAACCTGGATATTGTTTGCCTTTAAGAAAATAAGGTAAGTAGGAAGAAATATTAAATATGGCCAGAAATTTCTAGATATGCGGACAAGAGGTGAATGGAAATTCTGGTAGGCGATTTTTAAGATGGTGTCCAATGATTTTCACACTGTGGTAGTCACACCCTTGGGTAACCCTCCTCCCCTTGACTATAGCTGTGACCTGTGATTTGCTTCTAATCAATAGGCAAGAAGGATGGGATGTTACTTCCATAGTGATTTACACAAGAGTGTTACCTCTGCTTTGCTAATAGACTCTATTGCTTTCTTGGCTTGCATACTTTGATGACATGAGCTGCCTTGTTGGAGAGGCCCACAAGGCAAAGAACTGAGAGTGGCCTCCAGCCAACAACTGTCTAGGACTAAGTCCCTCAGACCAACAGCCCTCCAGGAACTGAATTCTGCTGACAAGCCCATGAGCTTAGAAGCAGATCCTTTCCCAATGAAGCCTTCGGATGAGACCCCAGCCCTGGATGATGCCAAGATTACAGCCTTGTCAGAGACTCTGAAGAAAAGGACTAGCTCAGCTGTGACAGGACCTCTGGCATCAACTATAAATAATATGCATTAAGTCCTAAATTTGTAGTAATTTATTATATGGCAATAGACAACGGATATCTAATCTGTTAGATACCTAACTAACAGATAACTGAAAGGAAGAGAATCTTTGCTTTACAAGAAGAAATTTAATGGCCCTGGGTTGGGAGCCACAAAATGGTGGGCTGAGAATTAGTCTTTTTTTCTTCTCTAGTAGAGAAGGACACATTCAAACAAAGGAAGGTAGAAGGTAGGAAGTAAGATAAAAATTCTTAAATACAGAATAATTGGTATTATATACCAATTGCCACCATTTACTCAGCATTGACTATGTAGTCTGTTTTAAGCTCACTATACACATTTTCAATCTCCCAACAAAGGAGACTATTCTCGTTTTTTATGGAGTTGAAGCCAGCAGTAGGGTATATCATCTTGTACACCCTAGACCATCTCAACACAGAATTTCCCCCTTACGTCACCTTACCAGTTGCCCTCAAGTCGATTCTGACTCATGGTGACCCCATGTGTTTCAGAGTATAACTGTGCCCCATAGGGTTCTCAATAACCTTTCAGAAATAGATCTCCAGGCCTTTCTTTCAAGGCATGTCTGGGTGGATTCAAACTGCCAAACTTTCAGTTAGTAGCCAAGTGCTTAACCTTTTGCTTCACCCAGGGACTCATCACCATGTAAAATAGCAACCAACTTACCCAATTGTCTGAAGTATGCAATCAGGGTGCCCTAAGCCCTGAAGGAGTTGCACAATTCCTTCCTCATCCAATTCGTTTCCAAGCAGACTGAGTTTTTTCAGTGTTTTGCTGCTGATAAGAACAGAGGCAATACTCTCACAGCAGGTATTGGTCAGCATACACTCTTCTAGCCTGAAACAAGGACATGCACAGGTTGAGACAGGACCCCATCCTTGGAGAAAATGGTGGGCAGAGTAGATGGGCATGACCTAGACAGCTACCAAAGGCCTACCTCACCAGTTCTGGATGAAAGAATTTACAACCCAAGAAAGAAGCATTTGAAACACCAGACCATTGTACCTAAGGGTTTCCATTTCCCAATCTACTTTCATTTTGTACTTGTTCCTTCTTAGGCTTTCCCAAACTCCAAAAAAAAAAAAAAAAAAAAAAAAAAAAGCACCCTTCCCACCAGCTACCTACCCAAGATTCTCTAAATTGCAGGTTGGGTGTTTCAAGGCATTACACAACAGCTCCACTCCTGCATCCCCTATATTATTGCTCCCAAGCTCCAGGCTCCTCAGGTTTTTGTTAGTAATAATAGCAGCGGCAATGTCTCGACAGACATCAGTGGTGAAAAAACAACCTGACAGCCTGCAAAAGATAAAAATGAGATGCAGTCACAATCACCTGGCTCAAATGTCTCATATCATGAAGGAGTGAATGTTCTTGGACCTCTATTCTCATGATGTCCATGCAGATGGGATTCATCATGGAGACAAGAGCAGATTACTAACATTACTGAATGCCTATAATATACCAGGCATTATTCTAAGCTCTTTTGGTTTAATAGTCATTGCCAGATTTCCCATCACCATAAACAGAAGCTCGCTGCTTCCTAAAAAATGGCTCCCCTTTCTTCCTTCTTCCTCCTCCTGGTAAACACCAATAAACTTTTGGTCTCTATACATTTGCCTATTCTTATTTCATACAAGTGAGATCATGTAGTATTTGTCCTTTTGTGATTGATTTATTTCACTCAGCATGTTTTCTAGGTTTGTCTGTGTTGTGGCATGCATCAGAACTTCATTTCTCTTTATGGCTGAGTAGTATTCATGTATGTACCACGTTTTGTTTATCCATTCATCTGTTGATGGGCTTTTAGATTGTTTCCACCTTTTGGCTATTGTGAGTAGTGCTGCAATGAACATTGGTGTACATGTGCATACTAGGCTCTTCCTGGGTATGGTCTTAAGGCTGGTTCCTATCCTGATTTTACATATTTCCTCCTAGAATTTTTGTGAAGGGCCATCCCATCATGATTAAGCTAGCTCACCAGAGAAGCATAGGGCCTTGGGTCCATACAAGTGGCTTTGATAAGGCTACTTCTCTCATCTGTGCTCCTAACTCTCTCCTTTTCCAACAAGACCATTTCCCAACAAAGATGTCTGTCCCTGGAGATGTTCCCTTCCCCATAAACATGTAATCCAGGTCAGAGTGGAATCTCTGGGGTCTCTCCTGCAGAATTTTTCTGCTGAATGCCCAGCTGGGACTGGTGTAGACATACCTCTCAGTGTGATAATGAGGATCTGAGGAACTTTGTAAACTTGCTTCTCCGCTAGGACATTTGCCAAAAAAAAACAACTTACCGTTCTTATGCTGGGAGTCCCTAGGCAGCACAAACCATTAAGTGCTTGGCTACTAACTGAAAGGTTGGTGATTCAAACCCACCCAGACGTGCCTTGGAAAAAAGGCCTGGAGATCTACTTCTGAAAGGTCACTAACTTTGAAAACCCTAAGGAGCACAGTTCTACTCTGACACAAATAGGGTCTCCATGAGTTGGAATTAACTCAATGGCAACTGCTGGTGGTGGTGATGGTGACTCTTTTGCTATGTGTTGTTGGAAACACATGTTTTCATACCCCTTGCATACTATTTATCACCTAGACACCATCATTAAAGTCTTTCCTCATTTCTGTTGCGCACTCTACCACCCAAACCCAGTAAAGACATGGTCATCCAAGAAAACAATGGCAGGACTTACTCCAGCTCCTGTAACTGACAGGTTGGCATCATCAAGGACAAAATTAAGACCAATGCTCCATGATTTTGTAGGTAATTTACACTCACATCTAGATGTTTTATAGTTCTGCTGAGCATAACAACTCTCCCAATTGAGCTGCAAGAGGTTTCAGTGAGGCAACAGAAGAATAACCTGCATGAGGATCACAAATACAGAAAAAATACTGAGTCAATAACAGTTTACTCACACCCATCCCAAATCAACAAGTGTTTCTATGCTTCTGCCAAAGCTCAGTCTCTCTCCCCGTGACTTTCCTACTAGTAGATGGAGACAGAAAGCTACCGACCAGTCAACTCCAACTCAAGGCGACCTCTTCACTTTCTTCTTTGTCCTCTCCATCACATCACATTCCACACAACACAGAGCATGGTTGCTTATTCTTACTGTGACAATATCAGTCCCTTTATCTTATTAAACCAGTTGGTATGGCCCAGGTACTCTGTTTGGAACTTCCATGTTGTTAGTTGCTATTGGGGTCGCCATGAGTCAGAATCAACTCGTGTTCCATAGGGTTTTCAAGGCTGTGACCTTTTGGAAGCCAGCCTTTCAGTTAGTGGTCAAGCGCTTAACCATTTACACCACCCAGGATTCCATGGAAACTTCCTTAGCACCATCTTTAATTCTCTTCAAATCTGTAAGGTTGGTCATATAATGAACCCATTCTCCAGATTGTGAAATGGAAGTTGAGAAAAGCTAAATAAATTTTGTTGACCCTATGCTGCAAATTAGTTGTCATTCCCGAATCTTTAACACAGACCTGATTCTAAAGACTATGGCTTCAGCTGCTATGCTTTGCTGTACTTTTCCCCTACATTGTTTTCTTTTGACCATATGCCTAAGATGTTCAAACCTGAGCCCGAGAGTCTATGTAGTGGGCTTGCCCATGCCAACTTACACCAGTGACTCAAGAGCACAGCCTGGGTGGAGCAAGGCATCGCATAGAATTTTCACCCCGTTGTTATTCAGCGGGTTGTTGGATAAGGACAGTCGTTTCAGCTTCTTGCTGTTGATGAGGATTGAAGAGATTTCTTCACAGGTGCTAGTTTTCAGATCACACTTCATCAAGCTATAAGAGGATTCCATACAGATAAAGTGAGGTTGGCCAGTTCTACAAACCATCCTTTTTTTCGATAATTTTGTTACTGTTGAAAATGTATAGCAAAACATATACTAATTCAACAATTTCTACTTGTACAAGTCAGTGATGTTGATTACATTCTTCAAGTTGTCCAACCATTCTCTCTCACTGACATAAACTCACTTCCCCCTAAGTTTCCTATCTAATCTTTGCAGTTGCCATTGTCAATTGGATCCTATATAGATAGTTCTTTAAAACAACACAATTCTCAAGGCAGACATTCTTTACTAATTAAGCTGAACTATTGTTTGGTCAAACCATCCTTTTAAATAAAATCAGCCCCAACCAAGTTAAATTGACACTTTAAAAAGAAAAGTAAGGGAATTGTTTTTTTTTAATCTTTCCCTATAAACCAAAAACAAACCAGACTAGCTGCTGTCGAGTTGATTCCAATTCATGGCAACTTCACGTGTGCTGAGTACAACTGTGTGCATAGGGTTTTCAGGGTTGTGAACTTTCAGAAGCAGACTGCCAGGACCTTTGTTCTGAGGCGCTCCTGGGTGAGTTTGAACCGTCAACCTTTTGGTTAGTAGTGGAGTGCTTAACCATTTGCGCCACGCAGGGACTCCTTGACAAGGTCTAGAGCTGCACTATCCAATATGGAAGCCACTAGCCACATATGTTAACTGAGCACTTGAAATATGACTAGTGTGACTGAGGCAGTGAATTCTCAATTTTGTTTATTTTTCGTTAACTCATATTTAAGTTAAAAACTGATTTGATTCGGTTACTGGAAAACTTTTAAGTACATTTAGAACAATCTGGTCTGTGAATTGACTTTCAATTGTAAAATTCATGAAATCAAAATAGAGATCAAGTATTTCTGATGAAAAGTTAGCATCTGAATGGAGATGCTCTGTAAGTATAAAACACACCAGATCCTGAAGACTTAACACCAAAAAAAGGAATTGTAAAATCTCATTAATTTAAAAAAAAAAAAAAATCAGTTGCTGTCAAGCTGACTCTGAATCATGGCACCCCTATGTGTGTCAGAGTAGAACTGTGCTTCATAAGGTTTTCGATGACTGATTTTTCAGAAGTAGATTACCAGGCCTTTCCTCTGAGGTGTCTCTGGGTAGACTTGAGCTTCTACCCTTTGGTTAGCAGCCGAGCACATTAACCATTTGCACGACCCAAGGGACTCCTAAAATCTCATTAATAGTTTGGGTTTTTTTTTTTTTTTTTAATACTCTCAATTAACATACAGATATAATTTGATATATTGAGTTAAGATGTATTGAAATTAATTTCACTTGTTTCCTTTTACTTTTTAATGTGGCTACTGGAAAATTAATTATCTTTGTCTCTCACGCCATATTTCTATTAGGCAGTATTGCTCTAGGGTTTGACTAGGGTAGTCTGTGCCTGACAATGAGCAGAGGGACTAGATCATTAGGGAATTATAGATCAAGGAAATAAGGCAAGTTATGGGAAAGATTATCTATATAGAAACTAAGCCCACCTAGAACAACAGGAGTAATGTTAAGGAGAGAGAAATAAGCCATGTGCTCAAAATCTTCACGGAATGAGGGGCATCGAGGAGAGGTAGCAGGTAGTATTACCTAAAAGGGCATCCCTACACAACCAATTGGAGTCCCTGGGTAGGATAGACAGTTAATGTGCTTGGCTGCTAACCAAAAGGTTAGAGGTTCGAGTCTACCCAGAGGCACCTCGGAAGAAAGGAGAAAGGCCTGGCCATCTACTTCTGAAAAACCAGCTGTTGAAAAGCCTATGAAGCACAGTTCTTCTGACACACATAGGGGGTGCCATGATTTGGAATCGACTAGATGGCACCTGGTGACTTGTTTGTTCACCAATACCCAGTCCTTCCCCTTGGACACACTCAACATTCAGACAGATGATGTACCTCAGATGCTGTATGTTGCACATTGGATTGGCCAAGACCTCACGCAGAAGTGAAAACATCTTTAGGGAAACAGGCATACAAGTCAGGCTCAAGTGTGTCAGATTCCGGTTATGAACGATGGCCTTGAACAAGTCCTCAAATCTGGCATCAACAGCAAGATACGTCAGCCTGCAGAACACAAAATTTGTTGTGGTGGTTTGTTGCCAAAGAGTCAATTCCAACTCATGACGATCCCATGTGTGCAAAGTAGAACTGAGCTCCATAGGGTTTTCAAGGCTATGAGTGGGTTTGAAGCACCAACCTTTTGGCTAGCAGTTGAGTGCTTAACCCTTTGTGCCACCCAGCCTCCGCAACATAAAATAGGAGAGTTAACAGTGAAAGTCACACAAGACTGTGAACCTCTTGTTTGTAATTTCCCTTGTTCATCCCAGAACAGATTTTCAGAGTTTTGATCACATCCTCACACACTTGGTTTCCATTGAAGATCCTGAGGTTCATAGTCAGGTTCATGGTCCTCTGCTAACCCCTATGTCAGGCTCTTGCCTTAGAAAAGACTCTGGGTGTCTCAGTTACCTAGGGCTGCGGTAACAGAAATAATACAAGTGGATGGCTTTTAATGAACAGAAATGGATTTTCAGTTCAGGAGACTAGAAGTCCAAATTCAGGGTGCCAGCTCTAGGGAAAAGCCCTTGTCTCAGCTTCTCTAGCCTCGGAGTTCCCAAGTTCCTTGGTGATCTCTATCTGGCATCTCTCTTTTTCCATTTGTGCTTCCTTGCTTCTGTGCCTAATCTGCTTTCATAACTCAAACATGATTGCTTTAACATGCATATTGTGAGGAATGTAACCAATGTCACTGAACAACTTGTGGAGAAATTGTTGAATGGGAACCTTAACGGCTGTGTATACCGTATTTCACCGAAAACACTTTTTTTTTTAAACTAGGAGTTGCTAATGGACTGCATGCGGAATATGAAAGAAATCGGAATCAAAGATAATGTCCAGAGATTTTCATGATTCCCTGGGAAGTTGAAGTGAAACATGAAGACAATAGCTTTTGTCATTGCCTCTCACTTGGGGCTAGGAGCCCATGAAAGATGGCAGAGCAGAAGGGCAGAAGGGATCCGGGTCCCTGATGAACTTCAGAGTATATTTGCACCAGGCTTCCCTCTAGACTTCACATAAGTGGAAAATTAAACCATAGGTGCTTAAAGCCACTCTTGGGACAAGAGGACATAGTCAGTTATATATAATTGAACATAATCCAGAATGACACATCTTCTTTCCTTTTTACTTAAACAGTTTGTGATTCACAAGTATATTGTTAAAAATTTCTTTAGAGGCAAGAGTTAAAATGGCTTCCCTGGGCCAAGAGCTAAACAAAAATTAATCGTAAGGCCATTTACAAGAATCAACAACTTTATGCAAAATGGAAACTTAAAACAAGTCTTTCATAACAGTATGAGTTAGCAACACTTATCAATCAAAATAAACCAGCTTAACATTCAGTGCAGGAGCCCTGGTGGCACAATGGTTAAGTGCTCAGCTACTAACCAAAGGTCAGTGACTGGAACCCACCAGCTACTCTACAGGAGCTCCGGTAAAGATTTACGGCCTTGGAAACTATGGGGGCAGTTCTACTCTGTCCTATAGGGTCACTATCAATCGGAATTCACTTGGTGGCGAACAACATTCAGCGACCAACTTTCCCCAAAAAAGGGCAAGATGTTTCCTCATCGAAGTTTTATAAAGCCACATTATAACTGTAAACTTGGGCCCCTGGCCACTTTCAGGTTGGGTGCTCCCTGTTCACGAACAGTTTCTCCCTCAAACCCACTGCCACCAGGTCGATTCCAACTCATAGTGACCCTATAGGACAGAGTAGAATGCCGCATAAGGTTTCCAAGGCTTTAATCTTTAGGGAAGCAGACTGCCACATCTTTCTCCTGCAGAGCAACTGATAGGTTCAAATCACCAACTTTTCAGTTAGCAGCCAAGCACTTAACCAGGGCTTCTTATAAACTCTATTAACTCTGACTTCACTGACCAAATTTTTCTTTTTGTACAATGAATCAATTTTCTATTTTCTAAAAACATTATCAGGGACATTAGGGTTCTCCCCCCGCCCAATGCCTGTAGGTACATTCACCTACTTAATTCCCACATCCGGCATTACTTTTATCCCCTGTGGTGGTCGTTTTTTCTGGTATTATTTTCTTTACTCAAAGAAGGAAAAGGGGGAATACTGCTTTCCCGGGGGAACCTTTCAGGTGGAGACTGATGTTGGCACCTACTTGAGTGTTTGAAGTAGACAGCTGGGATGTCCCAGTGCTTTACAGAGGATCCTTTCCGAAGTGTTGTCAAGTTTGCTGTTACAAATTTCCAGCTCTCGGAGGTTCTCCTTGGTATAAAGCAGAGAGCAGATGTCTCTCCAATGGGTCAGGCTCCTCATTTGACTGCGTAGAGGAAGAAAAATGCAATTCTTCAGTGGAATTTACATTTGACTCTAATGTACTTATTGATCTTAAAATTACTAAAGTGTTCTTTCAAAAGTCCTGTTACCTAACTCAGACTTAATACGAAACCAAAAAATTCCAAACCAGTTGCCATCGAGTCAACTCCGACTCATGGTGACCCCATGTGTGTCAAAGTAGAACCAATTGCTTCATAAGGCTTTCAAAGGTGTGGACTTTTGAAAGCAAATCACCAGGCCTTTCTTCTGAGGTGTCTCGGGGTGGGTTTGAACCACTAAGCTTTTGATTAGGTACTTGAGGGCTTAAGTATTTGCACTGCCTGGAAACTCCTAGATTTAATACTAAAACAAAACAAAAAAAACCATTGCCATTGAGTCGATTCTGACTCATGGCAACCTGATGTATCACAGAGATCTGAGCTCTGTAGGGTTTTCTCAGCTGTAATCTTTATAGCAGCAAATTGCCAGGCCTTTCTTCCACAGTGCCACTGGGTGAGTTTTAACCACTAACCTTCAGGTTAATAGTCAAGTGCTTAACCATTTGCGCCACACAGGGGCCATGACTTAGAACTACGTGGGAAGAAATAAAGCATGATCAGGTATGAAAAACAACAGCCAGACCCGTGAAAGTGGTCGGTGATTCTGTAGTCAGGTAAGATACAAGTGACTGAGCATGATTCCTTTAATGTGAACAGGTTTAACTATTTAGATTAATATTTATTGATGATGAATATTGCATGTTTTATGCTATCACATCTCTAAGTAACTTATGAGAATTATTTCAGTTAATCCATACAACAAATTCTGAGGAAATGAGATTAAACCAGTGGTTCTGACTAGGGGCAATTTTTGTCCCCAAGGGAACATTTGGTGTCTGAAGACATTTCGTTTTCATAACCAGTGGGAGGGTGACGTGCTATTGGCATCTAGTGGGTGGAAGCCAGGGATGCTGCTAAACATACTACAGTGCACAATATAGTCCAACAACAAAGAATTATCCAACCCCAAATGTCAATGCTGAGGTTTAACCCCCAAACCCTGGATTAAACTGGTCCAGGTATGGATTAGATTGGAAACCAAATTCTGATTGTCTTCAGTTTCAGTCTTGTTATGGTCAATGGGCAGTGAAATTATGGGCAGGTTTTAGAAATACAGGGAAGAACAGAATTTAAAAGAGGCTCACCTAGATGTTAGCTTCACAGTGACCTTTTCAAAGATGCCTTGAATACACAACCTAAGTTTCTGTAGCGTATGGCAGCGCTTCAGACAATATGATGAAACCATCAGATCTTTGTTTTCTTGGATAAAAATGGTGGCTTCTACGAAAAATCCCATTATCTGTTTCACAAATTCTTCCTCCTGGTTCTCAAAGAGACAATAAAACAAAGGTACGTGGTGTTCCATTGCTGTTGGATTAGCACCCAAGTTTTCCATTTGCTCCAGGAAATACTGCCGGTGCATCTCTGATAATAGTTGACAGCCAAAGGATGTCTCAAGAATGTCTCTCGTCTTCTTGTTAAGAAGACCAAAAATGCAAGTCATTATTGGACTAAGATACTTATATTCTGCCCTCCTCTCTTTTTCTTTACTGGTTGAGGGGAGCAGGGATGCGATCAATGGCCTCATGTACGCTATGGCTGCACAAAACTCCTGGACACGCAGGTGTATGAACGTGCAATGGTCTTCACAGTTGCTGCTCCGCGTAAGAATATTTGTGGTCTGCAACACAGAGACATCAGCCTCGGTAAGCCCAACACTTCTGAGGTCTTGGTTACTGAAGTCCAATACGTCTTGCAACAGCCCTTCTAAAGCCAGCCAACACAGACGCTCTAGAAGGACCAGGTGATGCTGACCAGCAACCATACCAGGCTCAGACATCAACGCGTTGGTGAGAAAATGGGCATGTATGTCAGTGGATGTTCGGAACTTGAGTTTGACATCATCCGCCTTGTCCATCTGGTGATTCAGGGTCGTGCAAACAACCCAGCACAAGATGGGCACGTTGCACAGATCCACAAGCATTTCATTCTCCTGGACAAATTTGAAGGCTATTGTAGCCTTCCTACTGTCTTTAAAGAATAAGGTGAAATACCTCTGCCTTATTTCATCGATGAAATTCAGATTGATGGAGTAATCTGTTTCCTTCAATAATGCATCCATGGCATCCTGTCGCCCAGGCCTGGTTGAGATGAGGAATGAGGAACCTGGTGCCATTTTTCTCTTGAACAAACTGACCAGGAGTACCAATACTGGCACCTGCTTCCTGCTGTCACTACACAAAGCAGATTCATCCATGTTTAAGATGAACTTTATGTTGTCCAAGTCCTCAAGGATAAACAAGAGCTTCCGGGAATCAGACAGGATATCTGCCACAGGAGCCCGGCTGTCAGGCCAGTCCTTGGAGAGCAGCTCAACAAAGCTACTGTGGGCCATCTGGTTTATCTCACGAGAAGTGAGATGAATGATGTATGAGAATGTATCCTTCCATATGCGTCCACTCACCCATAGTATCACTGCCATCTTTATAAGCATTGTTTTTCCAGCTGCTCTCTCTCCTATCAGGAACACATTAAAGTTATCTGATGACAAATTGTACTTAGGATCGAAGATCATTTCAAATACGCGGAAAATTCCCGATGCAATTGAATCATAGAAATCATCATGAACTTTTGGATAAATGCCTTCTTCCCATTGGAGTAGTAATTTTTTAATTATGAGATTTTTGTATGTCTCTTTGTTACCTAAGCCAGTGAACACAGGGCAGAAGAAATGAAAAATGCAGATAAAAGTTCAAAATGTATAAACAATTTTCCTAGTATTTCTATATTCAACCAGTCATCAGAAAGACACAGATGCAAGGGTATTCACTATCAAGTTATTTTCAAAAAAGACTGCATAATCTAACACATGGGGTCACCATGAGTCAGAATTGCCTTGATGGCAACTAACGACAATCCTTAGCGTAGCTACTTTAATAACAGCCAATTACCAAGAAGGCATAAAATAAGGGTAGAATCAGAAAGTCATAGGACAGAACACAATTCACATCCAAACCATCACCACTGATGGCTTTCAGGACTGAATACTGGCTCTTTTGGGAAGGAGAAATCCCTCGTCAAAGCAGCTGAGTTCCCTGCAAACTGTGCCTTGGCCCCACCCACCCTCCTAATGACCCCACTCACGGTTCCGTCTGGCATCGATCTCCTCACAGAGATCTTGACGACTGATCTTTTGAAAGATGCTGAACATCATATTCCAGGTAATATGTGCCTCATAATTGGTTGTCAATATCTTATCCAGATCTTCTTGTTGGGCTTTCCTTAGCTGAAGCCACGGAATCTCTGGCAGTCCAAACTCCAAAGGTGCTCGTATGAGATGTTCCTTAACACTCTGAAATTCCTTATTATCGAGCTTCTCTAGGTACCACAGCAGGTCGGAGTCTGTAGAACTTGATGCTGCCATCTTGCTTCAGACTTGAGGGAAAGGATCTTGAAGAACAAGGAATGTGGGATCTAGAAAATAAATACTGGAACTAATGTCATTCATCAGAAAGACACAGGTACAAGAGTATTCACTATCACATCGTTTTAAAAGAAGATTGCATAAATCTAACACAAGATGGAATTGGGGAATCAAAACTATACAGTGGTGTCTACTCATTCCTAATTGACATAGGAGAAAACTCATTTAAATTTTTACATGGATAAGATAGAATATGCAGTCATAACAATCATCTGTGGGTTTATAATTCCTGACCTGGAAAGATGTTTATGATCTACTGTTGAGAAAAAGCAATAGATGGGAACAGTGTTTCCACATATGTGTACACAGATATCATCTCAGTTTAAGTCAGTATTCAGGGTGTGCAGAAAGAAGTTCACATAGCAGGCCTGAGTGCTCTCCTTGGAAAGGCCTGCTTGCAAGCCTTGCCCTGGGCTGGAATCAAGGGACTGGGATTTTGGGAGAATCCCACCATCCCCTAAGTGATTAGAGTGGCTCACTGAGTTTACACTGTTTGTATCAACAATGTGATTTATGTTGAACACTTGCTTTCCTTCTGGGAGTCTGGAATTTTGGTTCATGATAGGCAGATGGTACCTATGTGATTGCCCCCAGGAACAAGAACCCCCAAGAACTCTGGGCCCTGAGTTTCTACCAGCTTCCCTGGTAGGTAACATTTCAAGTGCATTGTCACAAATTATTGCTGGAGGAATTAAGCATGTCCTGGGAGAAGACTCGTAGAAGCTTGAACCTGGTTTCCTCTGGAGTTCTCCTCCTATGGCTTTTCCCTTTGCTGATTGTTTTGCATCCCTTTGCTATAGTAAGTCATAACTTTGAGTCCCCCTTGAAAATTATCACACCTATGGGTGATCTTGGGGACCCCTGACACACAAACCAGTTGCTGTCGACTCCAACTCATGGCAACCCCATGGGTGTCAGAGTAAAACTGTGCTCCACAGGGTGTTCAATGGCTGGTTTTTCCAAAGCAGATGGCCAGGCCTTTCTTCTAAGGTGCCTCTGGGTAGATTCTAACCTCCAACATTTTGGCTGAGCACGTAAGCGGTTTGCACCACCCAGAGACTCCCTCTGACACACAGGGCAACAAGAAATAACCTCACAGCCTGGTTTATGTCCCATATAAACTCTTGCATTGTCTTCTCCTTGTTCTTTGCAGAAGGTGGAGCCATTGCCTTTTCTTTTTAACTAAACCCATTGCCATCAAGTTGATTCTAACTCACAGCAACCCTACAGCACAGAGCATAACTGCCCCATAGAGGTCTCCCAGGCTGTAATCTTTATAGAAGCAGATCACCAGGTCTTTCTCCCATGGAGCTGCTGGGTGGGTTTGAACTGTCAACCTTTCGGTTAGCAGCTAAGTGCTTAATCACTGTGTGTCAGGGCTCCTGTTTTACCACTAGTTGTAAATTTTGTTTTAAGGTCTGATTGCTCTCTTAATTTGTAATTTCCATCATGGCAAGGCCATGTGTTTCTTTCTCCCCAACATTCTCAGTCTCCAGATCCATAATTGAAACTTAAGCATATTTGCTAAGAGGTTAAGTTCTCTTCATGTTTATATAGTTAATAAAATTGCCTTAATTATCTCAATGGGATTTCTCTGCCCTTGCTCCAGTGGTATTTCAAGTTCATAAAGAATTACATGGCTTCTAAACCTTAAACCAAAAATATCCCCTTAAGTCTTCTTAAAAACCAAACAATAGTTTAGCTTAACTAGTAAAGAATCTCTGCCTTGAGTACTGTGCACCTTTAAGATCTACCTATATGGAATCGAATTAACAACAGCAACTCCAAACGGTTAGATAGGAACCTTAGGGGGCAGTGAATTTATGTTAATGGAAGAAGAACAACTCAGAGGAGGGTGAGAATGGTTGCACAACCCAAAGAATGTAATCATTGTCACTGAATTGGACATGTAGAAACTATTGAATTGGTGTATGTTCTGTTGTGTATATTCTCAACAAAAATAATAATGGTTACATGGGCTGAGGCTGGCAAGGAAAACTTAAAACTAAGATTTAGAATATGACCTAACTACAAAAGTAGTTGCAATAAATAGTCCACACACAAAAAAAGGCAACTGATGTCTGCATGTGGTACGTGTAAGTGCCTGCAGACAACCCTAATTAAGCACATGATAAAAGTGGCATCACAAATCCGAACTGAAGGGTCTCTAAAATTGACACCTTCCTTTCCAGATCAATTAAAACTCTTGGCAGTAAGTTTTAAAAGTGGAAGTGTCATCACGGCAGCAGAGTAGACACAGTTGGAGATTTCTGGCATCCGTTGTAGCAGCATTTTAGAAATGATGCTGAGAAAAATCGACCAATTGCTTAGATGTGAGGACAATGCAAGCTTCACATTACTTCACATACAAATTCCAGGTAAGTGAGATAGTTGTATTTTTTAAAGGAAATATGATCAGGACTTAGGAAAGACATAGCATCACATATATCCAACCTCTGAGTAAGAAAATAATGTAGGCATAGCAGCAATAAGCTTAAATAAAACTTAATAAGAGCCAATCTAAAAATTAGTCTTAACAGGGGGAAGTTTCCACTTAGGGGCGTCATTGAGTTTATGTTAATGGTGGTAGAACAATTTGCAAGATGATAGTGAGAATGGGTGCACAACTTCAAGAATGTAATCAATGTCACTAAATTATATGTGTAAAAATTGTTGAGATGGCGTATATTTTCCTATGTGTATATTCACCACAGGGGGAAAAAAAAGAAAGTCTTAATTCAGGAATTCTGTCAATAATCATTGAGGAAATACCAACAACCTATTAGATATAGAAGTTGAAAAGATAAGAAATATTAACTGGCTAGAACAGGCATACACAAAGCAGTTCATCTTACAGTTTAGAAAAAAGAAAAAAAAAAAAGTCTTGTCATGTGGTCAGATGGTGTATAGAATGGTGGTGTAAAACAGTGTTTTCTCCTTCGAGGAAAGTAAAAAGTCTTCAAAGCTTTTAATAAATTTAAACACGTTGACACAGCATTTCGTTTTTAGGAATCTATGAAGCAGAACCACTAGGTGTAAAGTTTATGCAATACAATATTAAAGTGTTCTATATAATACTAAGGAGCCCTGGTGACACAGTGGTTAAGTGCTCGCTTGGGTGCTAACCAAAATGTCGGTGGTTTGAACTCACTAGCTGCTCCAAGGGGGAAAGATGTGGCAGTCAGCTTTCGTAAAGATTACAGCCTTGGAAACCATATGGGGTAGTTCTTCTCCATCCTGTAGGGTCACTATGAGTCAGAATCAACTCCATAGCAATGGGTTATATAATAGTGTGGAGTCCCTGGGTGGTACTAACAGTTAATGTGCTTGGCTGCTAGTCAAAAGATTGGAGGTTTGAGTCCACCCTTTCTCTGGAGAGAAAGGCCTGGTGATCTACTTCTGAAAACTCAGCCACTGAAAACCCTATGGGGGCACAGTTCTACTCTGAGATACACACGAGCTCGCCATATATTGGAATTGACTCAACGGCAACTACTTTTTTTGTTTTAATTTTTTAAGGCAAGGAATTCTATACCTGCCCACTTAAAATATCCTTTCTTTCACTAACATTTAGCACATCAAATAAAAGAGTAGTGCCTATTGTAAGGCCATAACGATGAATTTCTGGTTTAGAAAAAAAACATAAGAAAGTAAGAAAATTGGAGAATTTAGGTAACAACATAAATAAAGGGATCTTTAAAAACCAAAGAAGCAAGTCGCAAAGAAAAGTAACTCACCAATCCCAACGGCAGGTGTCCTTAACCAGTTCCTAAAGCAAACAAGCCAGGAAGCAGGAAGAAAAAGGCCATCCCCACCTTGTGATTGGCCAGCGTTACTTCCTCCCTCTTTATTATTGGCCAAAGTAGGCTCTTGATGACCAAGTTCAAAAAGGAAGGGAAAAGTGCTTCACCTGAGCTTTTCTGCACTGGGCTTGCGTGGCCTAACTATCCTCCTCCACACAGCCCTTCACAGGGTCTGCTGGTTAGAAGGTGGTCCAGCCCCAACTTCTGAGGTTGGAGCTGTTGAGGCACCTGGTCAAGAATCTCCTGTGTTACCGTTGTTGGTTGCTTTGGAGTTTGCTCCAAATCATGGCAAACTTATGTATAATAGAAGGAAACGTTGCCCAGTCCTGCACCATCTTCATGATCTTTGATATGTTTGAACTCATTGTTCTGGCTATTGTGTCAGTCCATCTTATGAAGAGTTTCCCTCATTTTCACCAACCCTCTACTTTACTAAACGTGATGTTCTTTTCTAGCGATTGGTCTTTTCGATGACATGTCCAAAGTAAGCAAGACAAAGTTTCACCATTCTTGCTTCTAAGGAGCATTCTGGTTTTATTTCTTCTAAGACAGATTTGCTCAGTCTTCTGGAAGTGCACAGTGTATTCAACATTCTTCACCAATACCGCAGTTCAAATGCATCCATTAGTCTTCTGTCTTCCTTTTTCATTGTCCAGTTTTCACATGCATATGAAGTGATTACAACCTCCTATAGGCTCTCCGAAACAACTAATCTGGTCAGTGCCTAAGGAAGAGAAGTGGCCCACTGACAATCTCAACTTCAGACAACCATCTCTACCATAAATTCCATAAGGCGAATACTCTGTCAATCTACATCAGCACCTGGCACAGATCTAGTCAAATATGAGGGATGCAATAAATATTGGTGGGATGAACGCAATCATAGGTATGTTGAACAGGTGTTAAAATTTGTAGCGGCACTTCATACTTCCTTAACACAGTGGTACACAAGATTGGCTATACATTAGAATCACCTGGGGAGTCTTTAACTGGTGATTGGCTCCCACATGCTGCCATTCTGCTGTAATTGGTATGGAAGGTGATCTGGGTATGGCTGATCAATGTAATGCTGCATATTTAACAGATTAAAAAAGAAAAAAAATGATCATCTTAATAGATAAAGGAAGATAAATCTGG